CTACTCAATAAAATAGGCTTCACAGAGCCAAAATCAAAGAGGGAGTCCATGGGGATATACCTCTTGTTGCCTCTTCTTCTTGTACGGATCTCTACCTCCTCTCTACCCAACACCACCTCCTTCACCACCTGAACAAGCCAAGACTAAGAAACCACAGAGATTGAAGGCTAAGAGAAGAGGAAACCTTAAGCTAGGATGGAAAATGAATGAAGGAAATGAATGTTGAAACTTACTGCAATTTTTCTTTCTTCTATCAGACAAGAGTTTGGGAGAAGCAAGGATGGAGATCAAGGAATAACAAATGGATAGTGTTGTTTATATAGGGTGCAAAACCCTAGGTAAAAAGGCCAATGATTGGTTGAGGGCAAAATGGTAAGAATTTAGCTAGAATATGTTCTCAGGCAATGTTTCTTGGAGTGGTGTGGTTCACCTAGCGTCATGGACCAAGGGCTAAAAATGCTAATTTAAAACACTTTGGGGTTGAAAATGAATTTTCTGAAAAAGTTTTCTAGATGAACACACGTTTAAAGCTTCTTTGAATTCTCCCGGTTTCACTCATATTGATTTCTCGATTTAAAACTTGGCACGCGAAGTCACCAAAAATTTAGTATTTCGGAATAAAATAAGTTTTGGTGTTGTATTAATTTAAAATGAGTCCAAAATAATTTATTCAAACACCAATTGATCGCAAAATTTTTTTAATGGAGTGAAAATGACTATTTTGGAATTTCTTAAAATTGAATTTATAAAATAAAATTTTGGGTTGTTACATAACTAATGCTGAAAATAATGATAAAGCACTAGATACTACTTACCAACTAATACATGAAAGTCAATTTTCTATAGTTGCAGGTTATGATTCAGCTAAAGGTGCGTGGGAAGCTCTTGAGTCAACCTACGAGGGCACGAATTCAGTGAAGCAATCGAAGTTGCAATTGGTGTAGTCTGACTTTGAAGAACTTCGGATGAGCAAAGAAGAGAACATCACTAGCTTCCATAGCTGAGTGCAAGAATTGGAGAATCGTGCAATGGTCCTTGGTGAACCTTTTACTCAAGCAAAACTAGTAAAGAAAATTCTGAGATCTCTACTGCCCAGGTTCAGGATGAAGGTCACTGCTATTCAGGAACATGGCGGCTGGGAAAACAAGACTGTTACTCAATTAATGGGAAACCTTCAAACATATGAAATGGAAATTCTTACCGATCACACTAAAAAACGAAAAAATTTAGCTTTTGCCGCTGAAGAAAACAATGCTGCCTCTGACTCAGATGAACCATGTGATAATACTGTGGTTTTTTTAACTAAGCAATTTTCTAAAATTTTGAAACAGGTTTCACAAAAGAACTCCCGAAACAACAAGTTTCAAAACGGATCAAGCTCGAGTGCATCAAAAAATGGCTCCAAGTCTGGCTCGTCAAATTACAAGTCTGCCTCTCGTCCAGCTCGTTCCAAAGACAAACCAAACAACAAGGGGAATAAGTGTTACGAGTGTGAAGGCTTTGATCACGTCCAAGCTGAATGTGCTACTTATTTAAGGCGAAAGAATTGAAGTCCATGTCAGCCCTAACCTGGAGTGACAATGAACCTGAATCGGAAGCAGCTAGATATGACGAAGAGAAAATATCCGGTAACTTTGTTGCATTCACCACCAGAACTGACGTTTTTTCAGAATCTGAAGATGTAGCTGATTCAGAAGGAGGCGAATTTACCTCAGCTGAAGACTTTGATTTACCTGCCTTGTCTTATGAAGTAGAGTTTAATAAATTGTATCCCAAGTGGGAAGCCCTACTAAAAGCTAATCGTACATTGACTAGTGAGATAGGAATATTAGCCAATGCTAGTAAAGTGTACCAAAACCAAGTAGCTGATAGGGATTTACTGCTTAAAGAAGCTTCTGACCGTGAAGAAAAACTAAAGCAGGAAGTAAAGGCGCTGAAGCAGGAACTAAACACCTTCAAAAATCAAATCCAAATGATGGATACTACCTCGACTCTTGACAAAATACTCGATTCAGGAAGGCAATCCGCTACAAAATTTGGTCTAGGTTTCACTGGTGGTAACAACAAAGACAAAACCATCTTTATCAAAGCATCTGGACCAGATCAAGAAGATATTTCTGAGTCAAGTTCAGCGAGGCAAAATCATGGTAAAGTATGAGACAATAAACTTAGATATAAACGTTATAACCCTATTTGTCATTATTGCATGTTGCGTGGCCATATCAGACCCGAATGTTACTACTTTTACAAGGGTCAAAGGGTTGAAAAATTCAGACACACGAACATCAAGCCTTTTACAAAACAAATTTGGGTTAAGAAAAGCGATTATATTTCATTTGTCTCGTTTCACTCTAAAAATGCAGGAAGAGGAGAAAAATGGTATTTCGACAGCGGGTGTTCACGTCACATGACAGGAAATTCAAAATTCCTAAGTAGCGTGAATGCTAGCAAAGGTGAAGTAACCTTTGGTGATGGTATTAAAGGTCAAGTCACTGGAGTAGGTACTCTAAACGTGGCTGACTTACCCAAGCTAGAGAAAGTGTTGCTAGTGAACGGTCTTCATGCCAACCTAATAAGTATCAGCCAGCTTTGCGACCAAAACTGGAATGTCAACTTCGCAAAAGACAACTGCAACGTTATGGATCCAGAAAATCATTGTGTTATGGAAGGTAAGCGATCAACAGATAGCTGCTATATTCTAACAAACGATATCCTTTGTTGCAGGTCCAGCATAAATGAGTCTGAGTTGTGGCATCAAAAATTAGGGCGTCAGCAATCCAGCTAATTAAATTTCTTTTTGTCCCTGCTAATAAAATTTTAGGTACACTAATTCACAAAAAAATATTACTTAGTGTTACTAATTTTTTTTTTCTCGTTTGCAGATTAAGTCTTAAGGCTAAGCAGTGATAAAAGCCATCTTGAATTCACATTTTAAAAGCCAAGTGTTCAGGACTTATTAGTTTCTTATCTATCCACCTTCTCTTTATCTTGAATTCCCTAAGATGATTTTTTTTTTGATATTATGTGCATATATTTGTATTTGAACTTGATTTGGCTGTTTCAGTGTGTTCCCAAAATATCTCCTCTGCGTTGCATGTTCACGTCCTTCACTGCGCACGTAATTATCCGACATTTGGTCTCAGCCGCTGCATGCCACTTTTGTCTCTATTTGTTTAGTGTACAAATAACTCAACATTTGTTTTGTAATGAATCACCTCAATTCAATTCATTATTCATCCCTTAGTTCTTTTCTTTATCTTCACACACACACACACACACACACACACACACACACACACACACACACACACACACACACACACACACACACACACACACACACATATATATATATATATATATATATATATATATATATATATATATATATTATTCATTTGGTCTCAGTCGCTGCATGCCACTTTTGTCTCTATTTGTTTAGTGTAGAAATAACTCAACATTTGTTTTGTAATGAATCACCTCAATTCAATTCATTATTCATCCCTTAATTCTTTTCTTTATCTTCTCATATGCACACACACACACACACACACACACACACACACACACACACACACACACACACACACACACACACACACACACACACACACACACACACACACACACACACATATATATATATATATATATATATATATATATATATATATATATATATATATATATATATATATATTATTCATTTCTCATTTTATATAATTTTTTTCATTTATATATTTTCCCAATTATTTAACTTCTATAATTCTCAATTTACGATTATTCGCTTCCACATTATTCCGTTATATTCCTAACACTGCCATTAAAGAAACACGACAACGACTTCATTCTGCCATTGAAGGAGCTCGCCAACAACTTCATTCTTCCATTGAAGTTAACCATGGATTCTCTGAGAGAAAAAAGTGAGCAATCGACAAAAGAGTATGGTTAGTCTCCATTATATACAAGTTTTTCTTTCGCATTGAGTGTTTTGAGTTTGGTTTTTCGAGTAGAACAAATTGGGTTTCAAGTTTGGTTTTGTGAGTAGAAAAAATTGGGTTTCAAGTTGGTTGTGTGTAAAGTATTGGACAATGTGTTTTATTGTGTTGGCTAGTGTGTATTGTTGTATTGTGTAAAGTATTATATTCATAATGTGTTTTGTTGTATTGTGTTTTCATATGCAAGTATTGGCCATTCTATAAAGTAATGTGTTTAATGTGATTTGTTGTTTATGTTAAAGTATTCACATTAATATGTTGGAAATACTGTTGTGCATATTATTTTTATTGAATGTGTTCAATTTATGCTTAATTGTATAGGTGAGGGTATTAAGGAAACTGATAGTGAAAGTGACAATGAATATGTGGAGGATGAGTATGTTGATGTTATTGATGATAATGAGGTTTGATAGGCCAAGCCCTACTTTTAACGAAACGGTGAGAAGCGGAGATTAGCAAGCCGAGGGCGAGGTCCGCGACGTCGGCGGAGAAAATGTCAGCAGCGTTAGCCACGGCGATGCCTAAGCGGCAGCACTCGAGGATGTCGATGTGGTTGAGGCCAGGGCTGGAGGTGACGACGAAGCGGAGGGAAGGTAGGTGTGTGAGGAGGGAGGCAGAGAGAGGTACATAGGCGAAGCAGCTCCAGCTCAAGAGGAGGCGGAGAGAGGTACAATGGCAAATGACATATTTACCCCCTCTTTTGACGGTTTAGATGGAAGGATGACAACATGTCAGATTTTGCAACTCGGAGGACCACATATAGTAATTACGAAAGTTAGGAACTATAGGTGGTGCCACCAAACTCGAGGGACCTTGACTGTTATTTACTCTAATTAAATGTGTAGATTAAAACTGCTATTTTACTAATACTCGTGAAATTAAAATTGGTATTTATACTCTAAAATTGATAAGTTAAATTGACACCTTTTGTAAAAAGAAATTAACAAAGTGGGAAATAAAATTTAAGAAATAACAATTAAAAAGGAAATAATATAAGTAGGAGATGAAACCTATTATTGCTCTACAAGACGCCATTTATGATTTACCAGCGCATGAAGCAAACTATAGAAATTAAGTGATTAACCCAAAATACTTTTCTTACAAGCTTGGAGAGGGAGGGAGTGATAGAAATCGCTGAAAATCAAGAAAAATCTGCGAGGGATCTTGTAGAAGAAGAAAATGGAGTGCGTATTTGGACTGGTGGGCAACGGTTTTGCACTGGTGGTCGCCGACAGCTCAGCCGTGCACAGCATCCTCGTCCACAAATCCAACGAGGACAAAATCATGATCCTCGATTCTCATAAACTTATGGGCGCTAGCGGCGAGGCCGGTGACAGGTATATATACGTCTATGTGTTCATTTTGATTTTATATTGTTTTCTCTAAGATATTGGAGGGATGATTTCCAGAGTGCAATTTACGGAGTACATTCAGAAGAATGTGGCTCTATATCAGTTCCGAAACGGTATTCCTTTGACGACAGCAGCTGCGGCAAATTTCACTAGAGGTGAACTCGCCACTGCCCTGCGAAAGGTATGATTTTTAGGGATTTTAAAGTTTTGGTTAAATGTAGAGGGCTTCAGGTTCATTGAATGTGATTTTGCTTTTGAATATATGGTGTTGTTTTACATTAATGAAAGATTGCTAAGCTAGGTCTGAATTTCATTGATTCTAAATTGGAGTATAAACTAGTATAATCACAATTCAAACTCTGGAAAAATTGAAAAACTGATATGAAATCATTGGAATCTAAGCTAGCTGATAGCTTTGCAGTCCACTGACAAAAATGTTATTATTATAGTTTATCAGTGTAAACTTCTAAATGCACAAGCACAAATCTTTAAAATGAATAGCATGCAAAACATACTAAGTTTATCATATTCCATGGTGGAGGTTGCAAGTTGCAACTACACTTCATGCTACTGCTCTCCTTTGTATCTTGGTGCTGCTGACTTGTGATTGTGTGGTGCTTAAGCATGAACGTCTAATACTGAAGCAAGAGTGATTAATCTGCTAATAGGGTTATAGGGATAGGATATCCACTGCTGCACAAAGTATTCTCTTGCTCCTTGACATGTTTAGTGATATCAGAAAGTGTGTATTGCTTATGCTGGATGTCTTAGAGGATAATCCTTCTATGTTTTGCCTCAAATTATAGAAGAAGATTTGTCTTCATATTTTCAAGCTCTCTTGAAAATGATACAGAACTGATTGAAGAGACTATTTTTGTTATTTCTTCTTAAATAGCAAAGAGGAATAGAGGATATTATCAGGGAAATTCCTCTTCACATTTGGAAGTCCTTTTTTCCCTTTAAAGTGAACAGTTATGGCACTGTATCTGTCTTCAGACTTTGAAATTCCTCTATACATTTGGAAGTTGCTCATTGTTTCTTATTGGATTTCATGGAAACTCTTTTAAATTTATTCTATTTTCTTGTTTTTGGTGAACATGAATACATGATGCAATATTCTGACAAGAATAGAAGCAACAATACCAAGGACAAAGCACTAATGAATGCTTAACTAGTGGTTGTTGAAAAGCAATTTCTGACTTTCTGTATATACATATGGAATGAAGTAGAGTAATGTGATAGAAACAATTGAAAAATCTTGCTTGAAAGTGCGGATCAAAACTCCTAAAACATTAACATTTGTAGGTAATGGTGCATCATGTATAGATATTTAAGCTCAAGCAGTCAAGCCAGAAAGAAGTCAAAGAAAGCACTAATAGATGACCTCCAATAGTTTAGTCGTCAAGATTCATGGGAACTCATGTTTTATATTTTTTAGTTAATGATTGGCAGTCTAGGAGTAGTTTGTTCACTAGGACAGCAAGAAAATTCGTCATTAGTTGGAAAATAATTTCCATTCCATTTTTGGAAGTCTTGTGGCTCTGGCCAAAGACTTTAAGTTGCTAATATTGTAAACATATGTTTTCTTCAGAGTTTTAGGGATCCAAAACAAACTTAACCACCTTTTATTTACTCTATACTCTGATGTGTTTTGTTTTAGTTGACTTCAAGAGTAGGTTAAACAAACTAAACTACATGAGTATAACATCATTCATCTCATTTCAGATTACTTCGTTTATTAAATATGTATCCATTAATGGGGAAAAAAAAGGCTTATTATGGACTATGGAGTATAAGCTTAGATGTCAAAAAACTGAAATATTTCATACATGGTTATCAAGGTGGACTTTCTAGGCGAGGTGCCTCCGACCGCCTAGTCGACTAGGCGATGAGTAATATATATAAATAATAGAGCAGAACACTGCCAAGTGCCAGTAGTGTGTATTACTGTATTATATAAATGTGGCAGCAGAGTGCACTGCCAGCATATTAGGTGTGTGTGTATATATATATATATATATATATATATATATATAATAGAAGTACAAGTGAAACCAGAAGCCAAGAAGAAAGACGGAAGAAAGAAGAAAGAAGAAGAAGGAAGAAAGAATGGCAGTTGGCAGAAGGCTACTTTAGATCTAAGAGGGCTGGAGTTTGTGACGGCGGTGGTCGGTGGAGCTTGGAAGTCTGGCAGATGGAGTTTGCGACGAAAATGAAGCTCGATAGTGGTGCGAAGGCTAGGAAGGGTTTTTTTTTCCCCTTTTTTTTTTTTTTTTTTTTTTTTTTTTTTTTTTTTAATCTGGGTCGAACCCGGTTCGAACCAGTGGGCGATGCGAGCTCACTAGGCATCGGGTCTCCACTCTCCACCGACCGGACACCTAGGCGACATCTTGATAACCTTGATTTTATAGGGTGCATAAATTTTTAAAGGTGCACCCACTGCATTCTTACATATGCATCTACTCTTTTTCCTTTCAAATTTCTTTTGTGTGTTCTTTTAAAATTTTAAATTTTTTAAGAGTTAATTCCACTTGATGTTAGACCCACTATCAGGGACCTTGAGACCTTCCATTAGTGATAACTTTAATTCATAGGTACATGAGTATCATCCTAGCTTGTATATCTGGATATTCCCAAGTGATAGGCAACAAGTTTATGACAAACTAAAGGAAGAATAATGCACTGGCATAAATGAACTTCGTACTCAATTATTTTCTCCCAATTACTTGTAACACCTTTTTTTTTTTTTTTTTGTTTGGGTATAAACTACATTCTTTGAAGCTTGGATGATTTAATTTTTTATCTGTTGAATTTACTTACCAAATAAAGTGCTATATAGTGAATTTATTTTGTGATTTTGAATCTTTGGCAGTTTAAAGCGTGATTCCTTCTCCCTTCCTTTTGAGATATCATGATATCCAAGATATCCATTGAGAATAGATTTGGGGTATATAGACCCGCTTTGGAGTTTTGGATAAATCATACTTTTCTAAGGTTTCTGAAGAAAGACAACAGAGTTATTAAACAGTGAGCTTGTAAAGTATTATCCTGACATTTTTTGACAGAACCATTATATTATATTTTTCAGAACCCGTATTCTGTGAATATCATCCTGGCTGGTTATGACAAGGAAACAGGCCCGTCTCTATACTACATTGATTATATTGCCACCCTTCACAAAGTTGACAAAGCAGCATTTGGTTATGGTTCCTATTTCTCGCTTGCCATGATGGATAGGCACTACAAGAATGACATGACATTGGAAGAAGCCATTGATTTAGCAGATAAGTGCATAATGGAGATACGGTCTAGGTTGGTTGTAGCCCCACCGAACTTTGTGATAAAAATTGTTGACCAGAATGGAGCCCGAGAGTACGCATGGCGTGAATCTATCAAAGATCCCCATGTTCCTCCTCCAGTGGCTGCATAACTGGTTGTTAGAGTATGTTCAAACTGTCTTCAGAGAATGAGGTGAGCACAATTTATCAAGTCAATTGAATCTTGAATTGTTATTAAGATTTGGAGCATTTTTCTCTTGGCTAGAAATTATTTTGTTTCAGCTCTAATGGTTGCCTTAACTTTCAGAAGTTTTTTTTTTTTTTTTTTTTTTTTTTTTTTTTGAAAGGAACTTTGTTTTATTATACTTGATTTGTTTTGGTGTACGCTATCAACATTCATAAACTAGCTATTAGGTATAATATGAATCTATTTAACAATTAAGTCATTAAATCAGAAGAGTTGTCACAAAACATGATACTTTAATAAAATTTGATGATGATGAAGAAGGATTTGAAGACTCATTAATTAATTAATTAATTTTTAAATCCAGGTTGAATACAAATTCGAAGTATTCAATATTATGGGGATGTTTGGTTCATGGAAAATGTTTTCCAAAGGAAAACATTTTCCTTAAAGTAGAGGAAAATGTTGTTTTCTTGTGTTTGGTTCATGGAATTCATTTTCCATTGGAAAATGAATTCCTCAAATTTGAAGAAAACAAAATCTTTGGTTGGTCCAAGGATTTTGTTTTCCATGGAAGATGGGAAGAAAAGTTGAGATGGAATGCCTATTTTACTCTTACTTACTTTTTTAATTATATTACTCTTATTAATTTGTAGGGGCATATAGGTATTTATACTCATTATTCCTTTACAATTCCAAATCTAACCAAACAATAGAATTAATATTCCTAATTCCTAGTAATTCTTTTTCCACCAACCAAACAATGAAATTTATCTTCCTTGTAATTATTTTTCCATGGAATTCCACTTCCACTTCCCTTAAAATATTTTTCGCGAACCAAACGAGCCCGTCAAATAGGTCATCTAACTACACACAAAACTGTACTTGGACCATCGAACAAAAAAAATTGTAATTAGGTCAATTTATGTCCATTAACAATGTGAAATCATGCAATTGAGCCAAAAGTAACGGTAACATGTTTACTCATTGATTGATGATGTGATGGTTACCGGATTAAAAAATTAATTTTATTTTAATAATTTTAAAAAATCTCACTCCCCCCCTCGGTCTTTGTCTCCAGGCTACAAAGGGACCTCTTCGTCTTGGGTCAGAGACGAATAGAGGGACCTTCATCTCTAGGTTGCTGGAGATGAAAACTGGAGATTGATTCTTGGAGACGAAGAGACCTTCGTCTCTTGGTTATCGGAGATGAAGTCTGGTTCTTCGTCTTTGGCAGCCTAGAGAAGATGGTCGGGGGAGGGTTTGTTTTGTTTTGGTTTTTTTTTTGTTTTTTTGTTTTTGTTTTTGTTTTTTGTTTTTTTTTTGTTTTTGTTTTTGTTTTTTTTTTATATATAAAATTTTAAATAAATTATTCCCTTCGTCCCATTTTATGTGTCGAGTTCGGTTAACGAGACTTGACTGAAGTTATTTTACCATTTAATTTTTCATAATATTAAGTTTAGAATTAATATGTAAAATTTATATATATTTAGAAAATACATTAAAAGTACTATTAAACACAAAATTAAATTTAAAAATTATAAAAAAATACTAATAAAAATAAGTAAATAAGAAAGAGTTGGTTTGACCAATGAATAGTAAGTATGACACGTGAACGGTAAAACGATCCAGATAGAGTATTTTCTTAATTTGATAACCGCCACGTCAAAAACCAATGGGTAAATATGTCACTTTAGGATTTTGCGTAGTGGACTCAGTTGTATTTTTTTTTTTTTTTTTTTTTTTTTTTTTGGGATACAATTGTAATTTTGTGTGTAGTTTGATGATCTATTTGACTCTTATTCCTTCTTTTGGTTCTCTCATTTTTGTATTTATAAAATACATGAAAGAAACTAATTAGAATATAAGAAACTTAGTAATCTAAGAAAACAATATTACTTAAACTATATCTTTTTCTCTATATATTCATTTGTCACATTTTATATAGTCAAGCAAAAAACAAATTCACTATTTTCTTTAATGTTTTCATATAATTTTGAAATTCAATTTTTATGTTTAATAATATTTTTAATGTAATTTTGAAATATATAAATAGGTTGAGTCAAATCTTGTTAATCGACAGAGGGAGTACAAGGTATCTCCATGGAAATTTCAATGTGCATCCTAGGGTGTAAAAAAAATTAAGGATGGAGAAGAGAATGAGGTCTGCAATATGTTGGTGTGTATCAAGGGTTGTTGTGTTATTGACCATTGTCTATCTTGTAAGCTTAATCAAGTTGATTTTTTTTTTTTTTTCAACTTAAGTTTTTTTTTTCTTTTTTCTTTTTGTATTAATAAAAATAATATATAAAAAATATATCATTAAAAAGTTCTAATTAGAATTTTTCAAATGACACTTCTATTGATTTTATGTTCATATTTTAAATTAACATACGATTATATTAAGAGTTGCTATATCATGTTTATTTACAATATAGTAGATGTTTATTTTTAAAATACTGTAGGTCCATTTGTACAATACTACAAGTTCGTTTTCAAAATATTGTAGTTTATTTTTACAATTGTAATGCAACTACATTATAATGGTGGACCTCAAATAAATTTATTAATAAAATATTAGAGATTCATTTTCACAATATTGGAGGTTCATTTTTGCGATATTGGATGTTCATATTTTCAATAATAATGTAACTATAATATAATGCAAATGAACTTAAAATAAGTACATTAAGAAAAGTACTAGAGGTTCTTTTTATCAATTTTGCAAGTCCATTAATAAACAACTAAACTTCAAAATGTATTAATATGAGTATAATTCAAAATATATATCAATAGGATATGTTTAATAATATATTTTCTAACATTAATTTTATTTATGTTTAAAAAACATTAATTTTATGTTATTTTAATGAACATATAGTATTATTATAATAAACATACAGTATTATAATAATAAATCATCATTAATAATACTTTATAATCAACATACAATTTTATAATAATGAAAAATGGTCCATGATATAATTCATTAATTTGCGGTGTACCAAACAGCAAATATTCTCTTCTTCTGCAACAATAGATTGCCAAGAGCAAAGAAGCTGTGGGTAGGATTAGCGCTATGCAAATTGTTAATTTGGTTAATTTATAATAAAATTTTCGATTAATCAGATTTATCAATTTTAAGCGAAAAAAAAATAAATCAACGCTCAGATCTCACCCCATTTTTCACCTGTGAGAAGTTTCGCACGTGAACCATCTCCTATATTAAACAGAAGGAAAATTTATAAAAAAAAAAAAAAAGAAAAAAAACAAACAAACGCGCTTCCTGACAACATGAATACAAATGATCAAGTGCCTCGAACTAACGCACCTTAAGCTTTGAACATATGCAACTTAAGCTGGAAAATAAAGCACCTTAAACTTTAAACATACGCGCACCTTAAGAGTTAAACTAGAAAGTGACGCATCTTATATTTTAAACATACGCACCTTAAGCTATAAACTATGCACTTTAAGCTTTAAATTTAGGCTCCAGCTAACACCCTAACCTTCGAACTTATACACCATAAGCTGTAAAATAATGCACCTTAAACTTTAAACATACGCACCTTAAGAATTAAACTGATGCACCTTTAACTAGAAAGTGACGCACCTTAAACTTTAAACTTTAAGCATACGCATCTTAAGCTATAAAGTTACGCATCTTAAGTTTTAGACTTAAGCACCTTAAACTTTAAACTTAGGCATCTAAGCTTTGAACTTACACACTTTAAGCTTTAAACTTAAGCTTTAAACTTAAGCTTTGACCTTACTCAAAATGATTATAATGCCACCACATTTTTAATTGTTCTTCATTATGGGCTATTAATTTTGGCAAGATCAAAGGTTGTGATTAATCTGCCAGTTTCACATGGGAAATGCTTCACATCTGATCCCTTGTATGTATGGGGTAGGCGTTTCGGGTTTCGGTTTTTTTTTTTTTTTTTTTTTTTTTTTTTTTTTCGGTTTCGATTTTTCAATTTTAAAAATAATTAAACCATTCGGTTTAAAAATAGAGTTCGGTTTGGTTTCGGTTTCGGTTTGAAAAGTTCGTATTCGGTTCGGTTTTTGTAGAAGTCCACTATTTGAACGTTTCCTCTTTTGCCTGATCGATTGTTTAGTTGGCTCACTTGGAGTGCCACTTGAAGTGTTTTGTTGATGACAAGATGAAGAATCATCCATCTATAGTTAATATTTGAAAAATACGAATTATTAAAACATCAAATGTTGGGACTTACGACTTACAGTTGAGGTCTGAGGACTTGAGGAGTTGAAATTAGTAATTATTATAATATTTATATATAATACTAGCATTTTGTACGCGTGATGCGCGAAAATTTATGCCCAACATTAAAAAAATTGACAAATGCAAATAATTACAAATTATAGTTCAAATATATTTCGCAATTTCTTAAAGTAGTAAATTTTAATCATCGTATTTGAAAACTAAAAAGATGAACAAAATTTATATTTTGTTTATTAAGAAAACAATTTTGATATAATTTATACTTTATTTTTCCAATAAATAAATAAAATATTTATAATACTAATATAGTACCCGGTCACATATATTGGTGCGTGTGCGTGCCTATATATATATATATATATATATATATATATATATATATATATATATATATATATATATATATATATATATACACACACACACACACACACACACACACACACACACACACACACACACACATATGATTTACTATTCATAGAATTTTGATTAAAATATAATCAACAATTAAAGTAATTATATAATGATTTTAATAAAATGATAATTAAATAATAGGAAAAAGATATCATAGATAATTAGATATAGGTGTATGATAATAATGATAGAATTATGAAAGTTTTAGAATTAAATAGTAACGGTGTTATAACGGTATAAGGGTATTTTAGTCTAACAAGAATGTAGTAGGGATAATTTTGTCCATTACAATTGAAGTGTACAACATTTAATGAAAAATGTATACCTTTAATATACAAATGTAAGTATTAACATAAATGTTCTTATAGCTTAATGGGTAAAACTCTTGATTTATAATTTGATAATAGGGTTCAAACCTTATCTTGGGCAAATAATATATTATTATACATATCTATTAAAAAA